TGTATGTATGTATGTATGTATGTATGTATGTATGTATGTATGTATGTATGTATGTCTTCCTTTCTGCGTGGGCACCCATCCGTCTGTCTGCCGTCCTGTGCGTCGTATAGCATTGTGGTTCTTTTACGGAATCGGTATGCTGATCTTCAGCTTATCCTCAATTCTTGAACAATTATTGGAGTTGGTGGCGTTAAAGGCACGATTTTCTAGTTCCAGTACCGTCCTGATACTAGTAAAAACGAGCGCCGCAGAAAAGGGTCAACAAATGAGATGAAGTGTAAGCAGTGGGGGGCAGCATTTGCGCACTGAGCCGGACCTTCTGCATATCTCGGTCTCACGAAAGTCTGGGAGTCAAAAAAAAATTTTTTAAGTCGTTTGTGAAGTAATTACGACTTTTGGGCTAGGATTTGGATGGCGCGAGGTCAAGGCTACATGGAAGATGTAGCCTCACTTTCCAACCACACTTTAATAACTCTTGCCAGGTCTCCAAAAATGGGTGACCTCGACAATGCCATTACTCCTCTGCAACTCGCTGAATTCGGAGAGCTTTTTCATCTGCTCCAACTTTTTCAACTGAAACTTTAATGAGTAGAGGTACAAGTTGGCATTCAGGTTTTTTCACAGCAGTACAAGCTACATATATCTCACCTTTGTAACCGCACCAAATTAGCATGGTGTTCTTTTTCGATGAAGATCAGCTCTGAAAGTCGTTTGAGCAATTTGATTATACATATTTACCACCATTAGGGCGGTGTACGCTAACCCTTGCATTGTATGTCTACGGCCACTCATCTACGATGGAGCATAGCTTCTTTTAGCGTAGCTAGTCACTTTCTAGAACGTTTTTAAATGAAGTTATAAGTTTTTGGTCTTAGCCACGCCCACCATGTGCAAACTCTGCGCAAGTCAGGAATTTCAACACATCGCCTCCACATTTCTTTAATCTTTAACTAACTCTAACAACTATTTCCTCCGCATCTAAATAGAACGTGAACGGAGTTATGGTTTTTCGATCTTAGTCCCACGCACCTCAGTGCAAGACCCGCCCCTATGGAGATTGCACCATTTCTTCTACAGCCACTGATCGCTTTTTTCTCGCGTTCTAGAATTAATAATATTAATTTTCCAGGAAATAACCTAACATTTGAATGCACTCCCCGCCGATCGCGGGCGGAGCTTCAATATGTTTACGTGTGTCCAGACGTATGAAGTCTTGCTCACTTCGTTTTTTTTTTGGCCTCCATGGTTTCGTTGAATCGAGTTATGAACTTATGTAACAAGTACCGATTGCGAGAACGCTTCGCTCACCGTCGATGAGTCCCCTTCATTTCACCTACATATCTACTTGCCGCTTTTGGTTATTTTTCCCCTACGTCTGGGTTGTTACGAAACCTAATTAGGAACGTTTCCCCATGACACCGCCGTTCCTGTGCATGCTCCATCCCTGTGGACGGAGCTTTCACTAGCTCTCATGTGTTTTTTTGGGATCTTGCCCTGTTCCCAATCCACCCTACACTTGACCCAACTTCTGAAGGAACTTTCTCAGGTACTATCAAATTTTCGAGCAAAGAGACAGACAGACAGACGCGAATGCTGATGGTAATAATCGTTTGTAAGTCATACACAAACAGAGAAACAGACAAATCAACAGACACACGTAAGGCTTTATATATAGTGGGGTGATTGTGAAGTAGCACCTATGTAGGGAGCCCTAAAGTACAGATCAATAATAAACAAACTCCTTTTGTCGTAAACAGCTCCCGAGAACTATCAGAGCTTGTCTTGCGCTACTTTTGAAAGGAAATCATAACGAAATCATAGAATTCATAATCTGCGCCTAGCCTTTTGTTCATGTACCGTCTTTTGCCTGTATCCGACAAGTCGGTTCCACGAGGGAGGTTGGCATGCCCGTGTGCCGAAGTTCCGATTTGGTCCAGTGACTCCTTCTCGGATGAGGCACCACGGCCAACAGATGCAGGTGCTGGCTATCTGGATTCATCCTCTTCAACGGTGTCAGTTCAGCTATTGTAGCGTGTGTGGCCCAGTCTTCGTAAATGAGTTCTTTTCCACCTCTACCCTAGTACAGAGACTGGTATTCAGCGGATTGTCTCTGCTGGCTCAGCTCAGCTCGTTTTATCTTGATCTTGGTCAACTCTCCGGCAGTCGTACACCTATCCTAAATTTTCTTTATAGGCGCACTCAGTTGAGTGTATAAATAAATAAAGAAATAAATAAATTCAGAAAACGCCCAAGAAACTTTTAGACTTTGTTTCATACAGTAGCGTTATTTCAACTACGGACAAACGGACAGAGGGCGTGAGTTTATGAAGGAATTATTAACACTTACGATAAAGTTCCGAATGAAGCTCATACACAACATTCTTTTTCGATAAGCTTTGATGGTATCTATTTTTAGAGCATCGCTCCACCCAGCTAGTATTAAATCCTTTAATTCACAACAAAAGCCTTCACATAATACAAACAGCAAAAAAGTACTAGAGTATCGTTTGTGTCTCGCAGTAGTTAACTAAGAAAACAGAAAAAAAAATCAATTAAACTTGAACAAAAATATGAGCGACAAACAGATAATGAAGGGGTTCTCTTCTTATTCGAAATAATAATAGCTAACGAAATATTTGGTGCCCATAGAGACCGTCCACCGCTTTTTGGCAAGTAAGCAGAAACACGGTGTTATCTGTAAATAATGTTCATCTAAAAGTCATCATATTTAAAAATTTATAACTTCAAATGGAATTTGAACGACAAGATCCCCTTTTGAGCTGATGTAAAGGGTAGAGTGGAGAATCGGAGCGATCGGTGGTACCAAAAAACGTGGGAACGAGGTCTTGGAAATTTTCCTGGTAATTTTCTATAAAACTTCCCGCAAAGAATCCTCCCACCTTCGGGTGCCTTACTTCACCAGCTAGTCATACTGTTCTACTTCTACGTGAACCTACCGTGCGTTTCCTTGAACGATCAATAATTAATGCTTTTGAAATAATCGGCGAGAGCTCCGGTAGTTTTGCTACACGCTTCTGGCTGAACACCGCCTTCGTAGATTGAGATGATGACAGCTGCAATGAACGGCACTTACGTAAACCTTCACTGTCGAGCTGTATAAGGTGCTTGAACAGTTTGACAAACTCCTACTCACCTTGTCCCGTTTTGTAGATAAAGAAACCTTGTGACCCTTTCTTGCCAATTACTCGATCATCGTCGGCATTTAACACAAAGTACCTTAAAAGAGATATTCATACGCATCGACAATGAAGACAGCTCTTATTATTAGGTTGATACATAATTATTGCGGATTTTTTCGCGGCTCTTTTTCTCTTGAAAGAA